GACAGCCCGCCACCACGGCGGAGTAGGAGTCGCTCTGATAGTCGGAGGGGCCGGCGGCGGTAGCTTCTTGGAGGGTGCTACTGTGAATATGATTTAGTAGTCTAATTCTGGAGTTCAGGCCGCTGACTGTGTGAATTCCATTTTCACCATGAGAGCACATATAGAAGTCTAGTGATTGTGGAGCGGTTGGCAGCTTCTTACTTGTATCATCCAAATTGGCAGGTTCCTTAAGATTCCTCAAGATTCCATGAGATCTGGTAGCTCATGAAGCCCTGCGATGTGTATTCCACATGCGGTCTGTATTCCATGCAGTGGTCGAAATCTGGAGAATGGCTGAGAGGAGGCAAAGAACTTGCGGGGTAAAGAGGCGAACTCCACGAGTCACAGACATTGGCATGTGTTCTTGGTATCCCGAGGGCCAAAACGACCGATCAGTGAGATGACTGCCAGTTTGGCCGATCGGCCGTGCTTGTGGGTCAAATGCAGGCTGGTCCCATGGCGTCTTTGGGATAGAGAGAGAGAGAGAGAGATGATGATGATGATGATGATGATGTTAGTGAGAACCTCTTGGAACCCCCACCCCATAGACTATAGAGCGGACCACCAAGTTCTTTTCACTTATAGAATCTTATACCAATGACCAAAACCTTCCAAAACAGGTGGTTTTTGGATACCTCTTAACCTCCAAGAGGCTATATATAGACGCCTCTTGGAAGGTCCTGGTGGAAGACGATAGAATGTGGGAAAACACGTCGTCAGCCCGTGGTGGGGGGGGATCTGTGGAGGTGTCAACAGGTAACAGTAGCCACAAGGGGTTGTTAATGGACAACCCTTAACCTCTAAGGAGCTATCAGTAGAACCCCCTTTAACAGGGTCCCGGTCAGGTGTATACAGTGAGCAGTACCTAGTGACTCCGTATAGAAACGTCGTGACACCGATGGAGAGCTGAACTACTTCTCTCTGCCTCCGGCTCAGTGGCTCGGCGGATGCTCGCGGCTCGGTGGGCGTCCGAAAAAGACAGCGGCTGGTCACTCAAACTGGTCCGATCCAGTGAGGCAAACTTGTACATTGATCATTGGGATGGTGGTAGCAGTTGATCAGTCTGATGTAGGCATTGTGCAGGGAGTGCTTGAGAGTCTGTGCATTGTGCATCATGAAGTGCCAAGCTTTTCATGGTGTTGGTTTCAGGAATGACAGATTTGGCCTGTGCCAAGAGCCTCCTTGACTCATTGCAATGCTTGCTTGGAAAAGTCTCGCTTTCACCCGTTCGTTTTTGAATCGATGCGTTCATGACCCTGGTTGACTAAGACATCTCACGGCTGACTTCAACATGTGTTACGTTTTACGAAGGTGAGGTAACCCTTGCAAAACCTGGCCACATCGGCTCCTATCCAGGTCTTGACTTCTGTTTTAATGAGACTTCACTAATGTTTGATGACATTCTTCAATAATGCTCTGAAGATGAGCCGACACAAGAGGGCCCAAAGCGTAACGCGTCACCCGCAGCTTGGCTCAGCTTCTGCGGCCGAAAAGCGCTTTCCACCCGCCTCACCGTGTGGATTCTGCTCTCGCTTCTTGGAGAGGAGGAGCTGGATTTGTTGGATTTGGACGCCCAAATGCTCCAGGGATGTCAAGAGGGCCCACACTCACCGCCCAGTTCACCTCACCACCCAAGACTGACTATGGGCCGTAATATCCGGAAAAAGTGTGTGTGTGTGCAAGGCATGAAGTATTTATCCACTTGATTCGTTGCGCTCATTTTGTGGAAACTGTAAACTTGGACTGACTTTTAAGATGATCCTGGAGCCGCAAGAGTCTTCAGAATCCTGAGGATGACAAAATGGAACCGTATTGAACGCAAGTTATTGTACCTTTACCTTTCAGTAGTCCTTTATGTGCTTGTTCCTCACCCCCGGTTCCAGTCCAATTCTGACGCTCACCGATCAGAAGGATGGCCGCCCCGACTTACCACTGAGGCTTTGAAGGATGGCATCCCAGGGAGCTACCTTGCAGCTACTTGACCTGAAAACCTGGGCATTGGAGCTCTGTTCCCCAACACATACAAGCACCTCGGGTGTCCATCGGCCCTTAGAGGTCAAGGGGTGTCCATTAACCACCCTGACCGTGGGTCCTGGTATTGTTTTGTTGTTTCTGTTGGATGTGTGTTGTTTTCATTAGTTGCCAGATGAGGGTTGTTATGTTTTGTGTCTTTTTGTTCCGTTGGGTATGTTTTTCCTTGGGCAAAGGGCTGTTGAAACGCCCTCTGGGTCTTCGTGTGCGTGACGCTGGATATCTAATGACAATGTAGCATGAAACCCGAAATCCCGGACTGAAAAACGCTGTCAAGGTGAGGAAGAACATGCCGAAACCCGAATGCCCTTCTGACCTGGTTTCACCAGAACTGGTCGTCCTTTTGGGTTCACCGGTTCACCTGTCGCCTTTCTCGCTCGTTCCCGAAACACAGGAACTACAACAACGAGCTCGTGAAGTCCATCGAAGACCTTCGTGAGAAGAGGGAGGAACTGAATCGCCAGATCCTCAAGGACCGAAGCCATCAGACCGGCCCGGCCCATCGCGACGATGGGCGAATGGGCGAGCCTTCCACACGATGAAAGCGAGACTCCACCCCCCCCCCGTCCCCCTCCCTATAAGAATATAGCTTGGATCCTGTTTCAGGGTCCAATTCCAGGCAAAAACCGTGGAACAAGATACTCTTCATGGAGAAAATCCTGCATCAATCTGCATCACTAGACACATGTGGTCCTCCAGTATAGTGCAACCCCCCGTGCCCACCAACTCAATGTTGTTTTATCCTTGCTATGTGTGACACAGGATTTTGGTCATTCAAGTTCTTTTTGTCTGCATTTTCTCAAGTCAATGTTAAAGAAGGAGAGCGAGGGTATACATGTTTTTTTCCTCCAGTCGTGCAGGATTTTGTCCATCAACCGTAGGGCTGAGAGATCCGCGGATCTTAAAAAGACAACACCATTCGTTCTTGGTGGAACTATACACCCACCAAGAAAATAGTCGCAGATGTCGCACATCAAGTTCAAGTTGCAACAGTGCTTTAGATTTTAGATGTGTTTCTCTTTTGGCAGGCTGATCAATTTTTGGTTGAGCCGGATATCGAGTCAAGGGGACTGTTCTTGTGTGCTCGGGTTCTCTCTTTTTCTCTGCGCTTGGGTGCAGGAAGAAGAAGACAAGGCAAAAATTCAGAAGGAACTCTCCATCCTCACCGATCGTCTTCAGAAGGCCTGGAGTCCTGTTTCAAACACTCCAAAGGGACTGGAGTCCTATGCCTAGTTACATTGATCCCTATTCCGCCACCCCGATCGGCAAATAGGTCGTACATGGAGTGGTTGGGTTTTGCTTCATCAACACACAAGAGGATGCAACCTGAACGCAACTTGCTTAGGCTTTGCTTTGGAGCATTCCTTAAGGTTCTTCCAGCCTCCCCCTAAACCTGACCTTGTGAAGTCCTTTGAAGGGTGGTCTTGGTGGTTCTTTGACCACCTGCATTCCATATGCTAATACAGGATGTTAAATGATTTGGATTTCTTTGGATTTAGTGGGAGCCGGGATCCTGTGAATTCCCTGTGGTTGGGAATCCAAGCTAGGACCCCAGGTGAGTGGGAATCGGGTTTGGGCTCGTCCTGCACCACAGTGTGGATCGCAAGCATCAAATCATTGGTCATATACCAGGACCTACCGAAGAGGTGTCTATAAATAACCTTTTAAGAAGGTTAAGAGGTGTCCAAAAACCCACCTGTTTTGGCTTGTTTCAATGCTTGTTTCAGTTTGTTTGGAAGGTCCGACCCCGTTCGGACGCTCCAGGTGAATGAGAGCTTGGTCCGTAAGACGCAAGCTCGCAACGAGTACGACAAGACCATCCAAGAGACTGAGGCGACGAGCCGCGTGGGTGGGACGGAGAGTTTGAGAGGTAGACTCTTGATTACACTCTGGTAGACTAACATGGACCCTGAAAACCACTGGTTGGTAGAGGAAAAACCATCTCCCAGAGGGTCATTGTCAGGGTCTATGTTAGTTTTCGGGAGTGTATACGTAATAACTCTCCACAGTCAGAATTGGACATCTTCTTCATATGGGGGTTTAATGGGGTTTATGAATCAAGAGTCTACATGCGTCGTGGTGACCCTTGGGGCGGAGAGTTTTTTGAGGCAGCGGAGGTTTACCAAGGGTGAGCGGTTTGAAGTACACTCCCTGTCATGGAAGTTCCACCAAGGAGTTCCATGAGAACTCCACGGAGCGCCAATAGCTGCCGGAAGACGGTGGCCGGGAGGTTTTGGGATGGGTTTCGAACTTCCAACAAAAGCTGCCAGTTCGCCTACAATGGTATAGGAATTGGTAGGACACTGACACTCAAAACAGAAAGCCTTCCCAACGCCCCCTTGAATCTTGAAGCCACTCAGAACATGACCGTCACATTGAACATCCTGGAGGATGCTTTCGAACCTGCACGTTGAACAGAAGTCGCCAGATTCACATTCAAAGTGATGATCTGGCATGAAGGGGTATGTTTACTTCAGGGGATTTGGGCCAAAGCTTGCTCATGTGTACACATCAGTGTTACATCAACACTTTATGTTGGAATTGGCATTGTGGTTTGTTTGTTGTGTCATTAGAAGGCCGATCTGCAAATCAATCTTCTTTGGGTACAGTGTTTTTCTTTTTTTGCACGTCCATTATGTGCACCATGTGCAGTCTCAGGACAAGTATTGGCATCAAAACTGCTTGCTTACCTCGGATGGAGGTGCTACAGAGAGTTCCCTACACGTCTTTAGATGGTGCTCATTCCCCCCCGAAAGGACATGTTGTTGAGCCATCTTTCTTGTATCGGTCGGCCGGGCCAGGCTGCCTACATGAAGATCCTGGAGTCCTCCCAGACCCTGCTTCACGTGCTCAAGCGCGAGACGGCACCTTGTCATAATATACAATTATACACTGGCCAGACCCTGTGGGGGGGTGTGGATCTCCAAATTCACAGTTTCGTGAAGATGCGGCACCTTGTGATATACATGCATATATATATATATATATTCCCTATTGCACGGCAGTCAGTTCATGAAAAGTGTTGGTGTCGCATAAAGATCCTGAAGCACTGGTCTACTAGTCTACCTTGGCCTGTTCGAGAGTCGAACTTAAGTCAAGGGTAGTGTTTGGACGGATGGTGTCCGGGTGTCTGAAGAACGTCTCACACACGGCAGACACCCCGAATGCCAACGAACCTTCCATGGATGGTTTCTCCATCCTTTAGAAGGTGTTTTCGATGTCCATGCTTCAATATCCCCTCCAAGTTGCAGAACACAAGATGCTGGTGAGTGAAAGTTGCATCTTGCGACTGCCCCAATGCCACTCTCCGGTTGGCTAGGCACACTCACTCGACCGAGTACCGTGTTCCAGTGCATTCGCCTGAGTGAGGTGAACCTCACCAAGAAGAAGCAAGGTTCGGACTGAGGCCACCGGATCCTCAAAAGGGCAGGGTGCTGGATTCTCTCGTGGTGAGATGGTGAATTTTTTAGAATCTCGTGGTTTTTAAGCTTCTTCCTTGGTGGCACCCTCAGCGTCCTTCAAGATGAAGCAGGCTGAACATTCCACAAAAGGAGCTGATGGCAGCTGATGGAGGTGATGAAAGGACGACCTCCTTGCAACCTGGGTACATTCTGCACCCTCCTTGTTGGAGGGAAGGTCATCAACTCATCTACACGAAACGTGTTCAGTTGACCAGGGCTCATGAAGTGCCCCGCCTTACAAATCTGTCACTGTAGTATATTAACTCTTACACTACACCCACCCCAGCGACAACACAACAACACTACACTCACCACTATGGGTATCCCAAGTAATATCCACCACCACCCCATTGAAAAACCACCCCTTTCCTCACCGGCTTGTCCAGTCACGTCACAGACTCTCTCAGACAGGTCGACCGTCGTTTTCGAAGGTTGTGGGAAGAAGGTCAGTCCAACGACCCGCGGGCGTAAAGTGCTCGGGGTCCGGTCCGGTCACGTCCGCGCGCGTCGCGGCAACGGGCTTGTTGGGGGTCCGTGGAGCGGTGTGGGCTGGAGGGGTTCTGAAGTCTAGGCCGGTGGAGAGCTCCTTACTTCGAATCACAAGGTGTGGTCCACTTCCATGATTGTTGGGGAGAGTGCTTGAAGCTGAACAGAGTGAGGAAGGAGGCTTTTCCCTCGAACTGTGCGCTATTGTATGATGTACCATCTACGCAAGAGAGAGTCTCACTGCTGTTCCGCTGTTGCCCCTTGAACAAGATTCACGCTGATTCATACAGGTGCAGGTTGTCTAACCACCACCGGTGATAGGTACGGGTGAAGCGAGGTACGGTGACCGAAGTACAGAGGCGATTTAATAGAGGGGATACCCCCCAAGTGAACAACTTGTACCAAACCGACCATAACCGACCGACCCCTTTTTTTTCTAGGGCATCATTGATGGAGAACCACCAAAACTACCAGACTTCGCAGGTCTTTGGGATGGCTCTCTTTGTCTCTCTCTCTCTCTCTCTTCCATTGTGGATGCTGTTACCCTTGGTGGTGGAAAGATCAAAGCCGAAACAAGAAGAACATCGCCAAAGGAATTGTTAGCAAAGGCCATGGTTAGGGGGTTCCATTGGTCCATCCCTTGGGTGATGGACCACTTCCTATCACTATACTAACTATACTCCCTGGAATCATCGTGGTGTGGATGGCAAGGCCCCTTAGATGATCATTTTCGTCTACAAACAGGTGGTAAACTCCACTTCCTTGATGATTCCAGGGACTGTACATCTCTCCGATTGGATTTTGGGCACTGGCGCGCTGCCAGGAGTGTGGCACACCCCACCCAGCGTCGGGATGAGCCGATACGTGACCTTCCACGAGCACGCAGTCTATGGGAACTGAGGAAAAAATGGGGATCGTTTCCAAATTAGGATCGATACCATTCCACGTGTCAATATGTTTCAGCCGGTTCACTGTTCCGTTGTTGGGGTCAAGTATTGGTAGATGAAATATATTCTGACCACCGCAGAGGAAATTGTATGGTGCACTCCATTGCTATAGTAACTCCACAGACCTAATGTAGAGAGCAATTTACACATTGGGGAAGGTGTATGTTTTCAATGGGTCTTGGGATGGTCTTGGAGGAAGCTTAACGTGCACTTTGAGCTCTTTGATGAGCCCCTGAAAGTCATGAGTCAAAAAATATCAAGATCTCATTGATCCTTTTTGTGCTCAGCTGGTACGGCTGGAAGGTTGGATTCTGGGCGCGAATGTTGCCAAGGGCGCCCGCCCCGACTTGAGCAATATTGGCCCAACCAAAACCTAGGAACCTCGGTGGACATACCCCTGGAGCATGTGTGTTGTTTTTAGGAATGGGACATGCATGGACATGCAAAGACATGAATTCCACCAACATCCACCAACCATTTGCATGATAAGAGCAAGGACTAAGGACTCTACTAGGGGCGTCCTGGCCGTACTACTAGGAACAAGAAGCTACTAGTAACTCCTGGCATTACTACTACGAAGATGTTGGATGTTGAGCTCACTGGAGCTGGGGCGCGCGCTCTTGATGAATTCGGCTACTGCTACTGGACGTTTCTTCTCGCACCACCCTTTCGAGCAGCGCCAGTCGGGTAGGCCATGAGACGCAGCCCAACCGGCCCAGAATTGCGCAGCACACGTGTTTTTCCCCTTTCCTTTCTGCAACCGAACAAATGCTTTCCTCACATGCCCCTGGCTTGCCGAGCAGAGCAGAAAAGATGCTTTGCAGGTGCGAGACGCGACATCAAATGTCTCAACAAAGTTCTTCTGAGAAGCTGCGAGTGAACTGAAAATCCACCACATGCAGACCGTGGACCATGCTGTGGACCATGCCGGATGGCCCTTGATAGCCGATAGCCCTGCTGTTGGAGGATTTGGTGTATCAAACAACTTAAACATCTAAATCTTCCAACCGAATCCGCTTCCTTTGCTCTTCTTCTCCATGACGAAGCTTCGCCTGCTCGCTGTTTCCAACTCCGGCTCGACTTGGGGAGACGAAGTCGGGTCACACGAAGGAAGAGCCGAGGACGGTGGGACGGGGGAATGCGGACACTTCGCCAGTGATGACGACGGACGAAGGACGAAGGACTTTGTATTTCCAACTGCCTATGGAGGCGGAGGCGGACGATTCCCCTCTGTTTGGATCTGTTTGGTATACGGATTGTCAAAAACCAGGGTTCATGGCCATACTATCCAGGTAAGCATGAGGACGTTGGAGGGAGGGTCATACACCTTTTCGTGACATCATGATTCGTTATGCATATTTGTCGCTCTTCCTTGGAGGGGGAAGTGTTTGTTTCTCATTCATCCTTCATGGCAAGTTTGCAAAAGGTATAGGTATATATAGGTTCAAAATAGCCCTCGGGCCCTGTTTGTTTGCTAAATACTTTCCCGGGCTCTCCATGGGACTGGCATGTTTACCCAAATTAACCCTGGGTCAACCACCCCAAGGTAGCTAAATATGCCGGTTTCATAGTGTTTGGGCTTGAGAGAGGCCCAAAATGTCCCAAAGGTTGGATGTCTTGAAGATGTTTGCCTCTGATCTAATAAATGCCTTACTATACCTTGCTGTTCGAGCGGCCCCCCAAATAGATAGTGGCACAGTGTCCAATAATTGGTGGGCGTCCACTTTTCTATAGACCAATTTGGGGGTCTTTATAAATACCTTGCAGCCAAGCGGCCTAGCCACCTAAATCATCGAAATTTTAAAAGGGCACAGCCCAGTCACCGCTATCTCAGTCCGATGACAACAAAACCTGGGTCCCTCACCTGTGAGTTGTTGGCCACCAAACCATGACCTGATTTTGCTTATATAGTATCGTTTCTTTATTTTCACTGTGGCTCAATGCATTTAAAACCCCTTCTGGGGCATATGTTTCTTAGTTTTTTTTCTATAGGTTCCTGGACAGCAAATCCAAGGTCACAACCTCCAAATCCTCCGTTGGCTCATCACACCGTGCTCTCCGTCCTCCGTTTCCACGTGATTTCCGCTGAGCCACCGGAAACGCCACCGTTTCCTTGGTCGCTTTCTTTGGGTCCAGGTGGTCCAGGGGTCTCGTTGTACACTGCTTGTTACTACTAGTACGGCACTTGTTACTAGAAGCGATGCACTTGTTACTAGTAGCTTCTTGTTACTACTAGTAAGGCACTTGTTACTACTAGCGTGGCACCTGTTACTACTAGCTCCCAATATAGTATACCCTATGGATCCACTGCCACCTTCTGAGGTACGGTGATTGGAGACTATGAATTGTAGGCGCCAGCCGGGTCCAATTACCTTCTGAGAAGGTATGTGGATCCATCAGGAGTATATTTTGGCAGTGGTTGCAGAGACATGGCACAATCCCCAAGTTTGGTGGTTATTTTTATACGGGCTCCGATATCAAATATATCAAAGATTTGTTGGGGGTTGCGCCAGCTACCCTGAAACCACTGGACTGTACTTGTTACATCTTGTTACCTCTTGTTACTTGTTACTGTTCAACCCTATATGGGAATGACTGCCCCAGCTGACCATTTCTGGAGGGCAAGGGGCTTCCACCATCCAACCATCCAACCTTCGGATGCTTTGTCTCCTTCGTGCGGTGCCAGGAGCTGAACTAGTCCGCCATGGGAAAGGTCCGTGCCGTCAGGCGGAGAACCGCGCCGGATCGTGTGACGGGGTTCATCGTTGTGAAAAACTACGGCATGCTGTGATGTAACGCGGACCCACGATCTGGGTGATCATGCGGACCAACGTCCTGAAGCTGCGAAACGTCCGGAGTTCGCCGAAAAAGGGGTGGCTTTCCTTCCAACAGGTGGTTTTTGGATGTTTTTGGACACCTCTTAACCTCTAAGAGGTTATTTATAGACACCGCTTGGAAGGTCCTGGCCCTTGAAGACCTAGTAGACGATTCTTGTTGTGGCTGCTGCCACCTGGTTTTTTCTTCATCCGACAGCTGTTGGGGCGGCGTTTCTACGTGGGAGGGGGTGTGAGAGTTAAGAGGAGCGGCCGCGGACTCCTTTTTTTCCGCGGAGGGAGGTTGAACAAGCATCACTTTGCAGCGAATGCCAAAGCCTTTTTCTAGTCAACCAGTGATAGACTGTGTACAGGTGGCAGGAAGTGCACTGCTCCAGCCAAGGGCGGAAGTGGTTCATTTTGTGAGTTTGGTCCATCAGTAGTTGCAACCCCAGCTGCTGTCCTTTGATCAGCATGTTGTAGCTACTTGCAGTGCTGCTTGCATATCTACACTCTTGCAGGCTAACACATGCAATCACTAGAATCTTGTTAAAGGAAGAATCTCTTCCGATGGTCAGTCTGCAAGACTCTAGATGTACATCGCATCAAACCAGTGACCCCGCAGGGTTTTGGTTTCTGAGAGTTGCAGGCGCAAGCTGGCTCAATTCTTCAATTGGCGCGTGGCTTTGACCGCAAGCTGAGGTGTGACCGTCAAAGAGACAGAGTGAAGCCATAAAGACATCAGCACAGCCATTTTGAGAACCATTGTATATAATATAGGTTGGCCTGGTGTTAAAATTGAAGTTCAGAAACGCCTGCAAAAAAAAGAACATGCTACAATTCCTGTTGCTGGATCAGATTGAACAATTGCAAATGTTCCGTGTGAACAACTCCAACGGAGTTCATTTTTTGCGGGGGGAGGGGGCCAAACGAACCGGCAAGTGAAACGCAAGCCCATCTCGGAGATTGTGTTTGCGGGCTGATTGGCATCGAAGAAAGCCTGCTGCACTCAGCCGAGGTCCTTTCAAACTTGAAAACTACCTGCACTTGACAAGATTCAACCCAAACATACCCAAACTATCTCAAACTCTTTGCTTTTACTAGGCTTCGACAACAGCAACTGTTTGCCTTCAAATTTGCTTCAGTAGGAAGATCTTCACATGACGAAACGCCAGATCCTTTTATAGAAATCTGGTGAACCACTGAAGTCTCCCGACCAGGTCACCACGCCCCCGCCCAAGGTCAGTGTGACCCTGACCGATGGCCGCGTCCTTGTGGGCGTCCTCATGGCCGTCGATAGGCGCGGAGCGCACGGCGGGGTGGGGTTGTCCAGCGGGGGCGCGGGGGCGCGAGCTGGCGCTGGCGCTGGAATCACATGCTCTTGGGAGTTCGGATTGTTGATTCAAGGACCTTTCCCCCTGTGTACTGTAATGAAATTTGGTATCGGTATAATTTGGTTGTTTAAACTGTGTAACTTTAATCTGCATATTGTAGGCTGTAGGCCCTAGGGTCCCCTGACATAGGGCAACAGCTTTTGTTGGTCTGGAAGAAGGGACAGATTTCAGATCCATCATTGGCTGGTGACCAGTGGTGACGCTTTGAAACAACTTTGACTGTTTATGAGTCCTCATGTTGAAGCAATGTGTCAGCTCGCATGCTGTGATTGGACACCCATGTGGAAATGTCGCCACCCTCACTCGAGCTCAGCTCGGCGGTTCCATAGCATGCAAGCTGCAGAACAACAGGGGCCTATAGGGTTTGTCAAAAAGCTGGTAGAAGTTGTGGCTTTGTCAAATTGTTGCCAGGGGGCCTAGCTACCTTAACCCAGCATGTGCTTCGAGCGCGAGCGAGCCGCTGCCCGACCGGTCGGCAGGCACGTGAACATCGTGCTGTGTAACACCGAGGAGTGGGCTACACACGGCGACACGGCTACACTCCCAAGGTTTTTGGACACCCACATGTCCTGGGTTGCACTGGGAAGGGGACCACAGAGGGAACACATGACATGTGTGTTTTTTTCTCCTTGGGCTGAGTCCAAGGACCCTTCCGCCTCCTAGGCATCTTCCCATGTTTCGTCCACCAGTCTGTGATCAAAGGGTTTTTTGATGGTTTTTGCGGTTTCTTGGACATCCAACTTCTGAAGTGAATCCTGTTTAAGAAGCTGCGGATGGGATGGACTTGGGGGCTGAAGAGAGGAGGAATTGAACGACCAGCTTTGCAAGGGAAAGTGTTCGCGCCTGCGGGTGACTTGGACATGTCCAAGCATATCTAAAAGATCAATGGGCTTGGGCGCCTATGGACTTGTCCAGGTGGTTTGTTTGCCAAAAAGGATGGATCCAAACCAAGTCTTTCCCTAAGAGAGGTGATTGGGAGTTGTACCGGTCTTCTGCACAAAAACCCAACACCCAAGTCCTGGATGAAGGCATTATAGGCTGCAACATTGGCGTTGGGATGCCTTGGCACAGCCGAGACTCAAGGAATCCCTTATCCTGGATTTTGAGGTTGGAGGCCATCGCTACTAGGGTGGAGATACTGCATACCGGGGCATACCGGGCAGCCCGAGATCGTTTCATCCAGATCTTCCCCCAACAAGCACGAGCCCCCCAACAGGCACGGCGTCCGATTCCCTTCTCCTGGAGGAGTATCGCAAGTACAAAGTCAAGGGCAAGCCAGAAGGAAAGGAATTGAAGAGGCGCCGAGTCCGCGAGTGGGCATGGAAAAGTGCTGTCCAGTTGCCCTTAAACAAATGTAAGTTTGTTGGTGTTTTCTTTGGCCACCAGTAAGGACCGTGCGGGAATCATCAGGACATATCAAGACCATGACCGAAGACTGTCTTTTTTGGCCATCATGTTCCTCCCATGTTCATTGCGAAGCCGACAACATCTCCCAACTTGAGGCCCCAAGGGTTGCATGATGTTGCTTGCTTCCATTTCGGCCAATTCCATTCCACACGCAATCCCGGCAGAAGGAGTTCCAATGGCTAAAGGTCTAGGCAGCTCGCTTTGCACGCATGGCTGGTCATCCAGCGTAGGGTCAGCGACTGTCCATGGGACCTCTTCTGCAGACTCACCACCCCCGAAGGGCAGGAACAGTCCAATGCCTGGAATAGAGTGATGTTGGTGATGACCCGACCTGACCTTTTTGGGGGGTGCTCTATTTGTGGATTTTTGCGGATCCTTTAACACCTGCAGCTTCCCCAAACCACTCGTGCTCCAATCAATGCCGCTACTATTCCGTCCTGACCCCCCTCACCCCACCCTCACCCTCGCCGCGCCTTCACCTCGGGCGAAGGATGTTGGGCTTCATCGTGGTCCGGGGCACGGGGATTTTATACATTCAACCGGAGGAGCTCGGCAAGGAGGAGCGCCACGGACCGGGGTGGCGGTCGCCACTACGGGGTGGCAAAGACTAGTCGACACTTCCAGGGTAGGAGTATATCACATCTGTGTTGACCGAATTGAATCCAGGAGGTGCGGTGTTCTTTTCTTGCGGTATCAATTCGCTTGCATAGATCGTCCCACAGGTACTCGTTGAAGAAGTTTGTAGGATGAAAGAGGCTGTGGGTGCAAAATGAAGTCAAGTTCCATGTGTAACACTCAGGAAATACTATAGGGGCCTCTATATTGGCCTATCTACTTGCGACATCCTGCCATTCTTGACAAAAGGACCCACAAAACGATCACCCTCAGCCATATCCGCCTTCAACAATTGCCAATGGTCGGTCCCAATTCTGGGAGGATTTGGTCGAGACGGACAAGCCACGCAAGAAGGCTCAGGCCCCACAGGCGGCACCCGCCAAGCCAGCGGCACCAAAGCCAGCCGCACCCTCCGCAGGCTGGTCCATCCGGCTGGATGCGACCGGTGCGGGTGAATGCATTGTTGGGGTGGGCCCGACAGGGCGCAGGGATTTTGCTTGGAATTATGTGTGATGACTGAGGTCACAGATTGGCAGTGGCCTGAAAAAAACTCAAGACTGCTTGGTTCACCTATGGTAGGCGCAGATAGGCCATGATAGGCAAAGACTTAGCCTTGATGATTCAAATCTCTGCTTTGGAGCCACACCGGTGATGTGAGGCGCTACCATGAACCCTGCAGCGGCGCTGCTCGCTGGCATGCGCGCGCCCTTGGTGAATCCCTTATTGGCAGCAGGTCTTCGCCCGGGTGGCCTTCCTGGGTTGCCCAGCATGCCAGGCGCGGGAAAACAGAAAACACCGAGCGACCTCACCGGTTTTCCAGGCGAAGAAGAGCAGGTAGCCAAAAGCCTGCTCTTGGAGGTGGCAGCAGGTGTCCGTGGACGGAATTATATATTTGCAATTCTTTCCGTGAACTTTGTGCAATTTTAACACCTCCACCTATGCCAAACATTGCCAAACTGTTGGACTTTTTGGAACTTGCTGCAACTTGTTTAATGGGAAACCTTTGAAGTTTGAACTGTTTCCTACCGTTTCGAAGCCTATATCAGTTGTACAGATGTCTATTTACCTTGGCAGAACTGAGTCGGTTGCGACTTGATGCTGGGACACCCTGAGGTGTTGATGGGGCCTTGTTGAAACAAATTGTCATGAACACACATATAAACCATTTTAATTCACCCCTTTGACACTGTTTGTTTGTTTATCGGTCGGCCAGGGCAGAGCTAGCCACCCACAACCGAGTACTGCAAGTTCTGGACTCGTTCACTCGCACTGCCAGGGATGCCTTCCATGCCTTCCATGGGGATGCCCAACATGGCCATGCCTGGTGCCGGCCGTGGCATGGCAATGCCTGGCATGCCAACCATGCGGCCCATGTGAGCGGGCGTTACGGCCCGTCGCGACACCAACGGTCGTTGAGCGACGGAGCACCGGAGATGGTGACGTTGCAACGGAGGAACAAATGCAGCGCCCACGGTTTTGTGGACACACCACTGTTTTTGGAAGGCCGACGTGAGGATGCAGACGTTGGAAGTTGCCTCAGCCAGGGATCCGCCGGCCTCATGCCATCTCCGATGCTAGACTCTGGCTGTGGGGATTTTGCGGCAGGCGGAGGGATATCAAGAGAGTGGTTCTGCCACCTGAATCGTATGCATACACGATAGTTGGTAGAGAAAGTAGATGGCACAACTCCGGGAAAGAACAGACACAAGAACAACTCTCATGTGTTGGATCTCAAGACTGTGGAGGAATCAGAGCCTTTCTCCATTCTAGGGATCCCTGCAAAAAATTGGGATGTTCATCCACAGCTCACCATGTAACACCTGTCCAAGTTCAACGTGAAGCCTATGCAGGAATTTGGGAGAACAGAGTAGGCTTGACCGCAAAGATTCAATCGTAAGTCCTCAAGACGTCCAGCTATAGCAGATCCGTTGCCGCCGGGAAGGGGGACCTGGTCTGGGACCTGGTCTTCCCCACCTATTTTGGCGGCAGAATTCCGGGCTACGAACGCCCGAACTCGGCAGAGGGCGTCGACCCCCGCGCAGAGCGGAAGAACAAAGACGCCGGTTCCATGGCGACGGCCGACGCGGACGCGCGCTTGGTCGCGACCCGTATACGTTTGAGATCGTTGGGGGATTCGTTTAGGTGTTACTAGATGGTATTTCGGAGAAGCAAGGTTCCCCCCAAGTCCAGTTTGCTCTTGCCTGGGTTAGTGAAGACATGATGCAGTGGTCATTCCTTTTGAGATGACTCGACGTCACGACTATCCCAGTGGCATAGACTTTGAACATTTGCAGTGAGAAGTTGGCTCCAGATTTTGGTGTGCCACCTACAACCTGTGCCATCCAGAGTGGATGTTGAATGATTTTGGCGCACTTGTTTTCTTTGTTTGAACGACTTCATGCGTGAGAGTGACCATCTACAACCCTCATCAGGACCCCTGGCTCTAAGTACAAAGGCCGTTCTTGGTCCAAGTTGGGTATATACCACTTGGAAGAATGATCCGGGGCATCATGAGGGGGATGTATTTCAGCCTCACGGACAGATGTTGGATCCGGAGGTCTTTGACGTCTCCCTGGACTGAAGCTGATTTGATTTCTTTTCGGAAACGGAAGCTCTCCTGCATTGGCGCTAAACACCGCAAGTGACCACTTCTGCTCGTGCAATCGCCAGGTTGGACACATGCAACATCATGCAACATGTCACATCACCTTGACATGGAGGGAATGGGCGTCAGTCACTGTGCCACCGATGTGATTGCATCAACATCCTGCATCATTACATGATAATATTACATATTTTTGTTTCATCTACAACACCATACAACACCTGCCAGCTGAAAGTATGACAACCCCCTTAGCCAATGATTGGGCTGTCCCTCCAGTTCCAACAGTGCCATGTCCACCTTTTGCCCCTCCTGCCACGTGTGGTGAAACCTCACACCGTCGTTTTCCTCGTCTTCCCATCGCCATGTCGCGCCTTCGCGCCAGCAGCGTGCCATCGCAGGTGTGGTTTGGACCAGTGGTGTTGGGTTGAACGCATTGGATGAAAGGCTGATGAAAGGCAAACAACGTGCTGCAGGTGCTTGTGAAGAACTTGCTGGATGCTTTAGTATGCTTTAGTGCACACTCCTGGTGGACAGAGCATGTGTCCAGTGGTTTCAGGACTTGTGTCGTTTCTTTCTTTGGTTCCCGGGTCCATGGTCAGGGCCCATGTTCGACTTGTTCTAGATGGTGAGTACATCTCATCTCAGCGAGAGCTGGCCGAGTTTCAATGCAGGTGTTGTTGAATTATGCGCTCCAAAGGGCCCAGTACCTACGAAACCAGACCTGGTTGGCGGTTTGTCAATGATTCGCCACGCCAAACATACGCAAAGACGTAAGATGGGGCACATCCATGGATATTAAGGCTTCAAATTGTAGCGATTGGTGTTACGTTCCTCTATGCTCCCACCAAAGCCACCAATATATATATATATATATATTGACCTAAACAACCAGTCCTTCAACCAACCCTGCAAGATCATTTAAAGCAAGCAACTTTCAGTGCGATTGAGATCCTGCTCAGTTTTGACATGACCAGTTCGGTATAAACCAGTGTCCTCCCCTCAGCTCCAGCTTTCGCCCTCATGAGGCCAACTACATGCATGCGCGAGGGGATCTGCAGAACACCTCGGCCCGCTTCCGGGTGCCACAGCTCATCCTGGAGGGGAAGGTCACCGAAGCCGGAACTGAAGGTCAACGTCGACGAGACGGACACAGAATTGGTCTATGATTTGGTTGGCTCTATTTCCCTTGGGGCAGATCATGGTCTTTCCACTTGGCTTTTTGACATCCAGCGTTGGAATCACAGTAACCTGGTCCATGGATGCCCCATCATCTGGCGGAATCCGAAACCCTCGACGCGTCGAGGTACAGCTGGACAAGCCCAGCCCAGCGACGATCCATGCCGATCCATTGGCACGACTGGGCCTGGAGGCTGGCCACCTGGGGGAAAGGTGAAGTGGTGTGTCGGGAACCTCCAGGTCCAGCTGCAGGGGAAGTTCAATGAGCCTTAAACCCAAAACACCCTTCTCCCCCGCGCGAACGCCTCGGGCCAACGCTTGCTATTCGTATTTTGATGTGTTTTGAGAGGTGCTGAGGTGCTTTTGATTGGATGAGCTTGGATGTTTGGATTGAGCATGATTGAGCTAGTAGTAACAATAGTGCATTTTGATGCATTTGGCCAGAGGTCTATTCGGAATTCGTGTGGTCTCAAGAAAAGGATGCAAAGGAAGTTTTGGACGCGTTTTGTCCTTGACCCTTCCAGCAATCCAGTGTCTTAGAGATGTTTAGGGCCCTTGCATGGAAAACACAAAAAACTGTGCTGGGTGTGGTATAGGGTCGTGGGGCTTGGGGAAGCACTAAGTGGACGCTTGCCATGCCAAGCTGCAGGTGAAGAGAGACAACTCCAGATCCAGGTGCATTTCTCACGCCACTGGGGCCGTGTGCCGGTTTGGTCGCTCCCCCGCTACTGTCCAGTCCGGTGGTTTGTTTGGGGCCAGCGGCTAACAGGGGAAACTGAGGTCAGCCCAAGCTACACCCAGCCGTTGGACATGTGAAGCGACACAAATGGACCCAGTCAAGAGCATGTCCACCCAAAAGAGTCAGTTCAGTGAGAGTTCACTGATGAGGCCTTTTTGGAAAGACACGATCTTTGGAACGAGAGATTCATCTCTGTACCGTTTGGGAGCCCCATCACCGGCCCCTAAGAAAACCAAGGATGCTCATTAGTACCAGGCCTACTGGGACTTCTTCTCATGAAAATACGGTGCAACATGATGCAACATCTGGTCAGGCAAGGTGAACAAGATTGAACCAAACTATCCCTGCCGAAGGAACGTACGTTTATTGAAGAATGTGCCGCTTAAGAGACACCAGTCTGCGAGACACCCTCAAAAGAGGCTACGAGACACCAGTTTGCGAGCCAAAACAACAAATAATGTGCGTTTATTCATGGAACAAGATTGAACGCACAGTGCCGTTGATTTCGATGGAAACCGTCCCCGCAGTGCGTTGATGGAAACCGTCCCCGTCAGGCTTGTGATCGAAGATATTGATCAACACCCCCGGCAGAGGCGCTGACCGTCACCTGTTCGGTGGGATGGGGTGGAGCGAACGGGTGTGGCGACCGAAAACCAGTGAACGTGTGTGGTTTCGGGCGAGCACCATCCACCCAGGATAGTGAAGACCACAGCAGTCGTGGTATTGTCGCTCTTGATGCATTTCCCTTGGTTTGACCTCGGCTTTCGGGAATCGCAGGACGCCAGTGGCTCAGTGGAACACCATGGAGGAGCGACAGGCGTTGATTCTACTGAGTGTGGGCCTAGTCATTTTGGATTAAAAGCATGACGTAGCATTGCATTTTCCCGATTTCGGAGGATACTGTGGTCTCCCGACAGTCCTTTTTTGTACCATCTCTATATATTCCCAGATGCTTATCGTGTCAAGCTTTAAAGCAGTTATGTGCTTTGGTTGTTCAAAAAGGTTCTAAAGCGGCATGGGACATGTGATGCGAAAATGTGATGATGCTATAATTTTGGCTGTAGGGACAGCAATTCTGCGAGCGAGCAATCTCGATAGTGGTTGAAAACACTGGTTGCACATGGAAATCACTTCGGAGATCTACCTGACACTGGTGCTGAAATGCCTTCTTCACTGGTTCAAGCTTTCCGTCCAGCCGCTGAAAAGGTTAGGACATGGTAGAGATGGAATCGTTCTAGACACACACACACAAGACGTCCACAAAAGACACCCCCAAACAAAGACAAGCTGATGTAGAACTCTTTGCAGCATCTTTCATCCAACAAGTCTAGGAAAAAAAAGACAAGTGCCAAGATCCAACTTGTCTAGGAACAAGAAGTGCCAAGTGCCAAGAACTGGTTCATGCATGTTCATACTGTTGAGCTGATCTCAGTACTGTATATGAAAATTGCCCCAACTGAAGAAAACATCCAAAAGAAATCCAGCTTGGCCTTTGAGCCCCCACAGCCTCGGATGCTGCCAAGCGTTGTCCCTCTACATGCTGCGCGGGGCGTGGCTTGCATGCCTGGCTTGGGGATGGAGGGATGCTCGGCTGAAATGGCTCGAAATACGTGCAGAGGAGGGCTGCTCCAAGGGCGAAATATTAATTGCTCCATCTTTAAACTGCTTGGCAGGATGTGGTTTGAGAGCGAGGTGGTTCTCTATAGCTTCACTGGGTTTGGTCCAGCTTCCATGTTCAATGGCTTGGTCCAGCTTCCCCACAGGACGATGGAAAGTGACATACCTGTGCGTGAAGAAAACATCAAGAAGCCGCGCTAAAGAGGGGGCATACGGGGCTTCAGTTCTGTTCTGACAACCATGGGTTTGTACATGGCTCCCGTGTGTGCTATGTTCCCACCATTAAATCATATTGATTAGACAAATGGTGTGATTTCGTGCCACTGTGGGAGACCACACACGGAAACCAAGGGTGGTGGCTGTGAACCACCCTCACTCAGAGTGGGTTCAACATACTGCTTCGACTGTCACGCGGACTTTGTGACCAGTGGACTAACTGAGCCACGCTTGTGAAATATCACACTATAATACACTATATCTCTATATATCTCTATTATTTCTATATGGACATGTCACTGTCGCTTTTTAACTCCAGAGTCTACCACTTTGTTTGATGTGAACGCCTTTGACACTGGATCTCCAAGCGCCCGCGCAGCCCGCACACGGGGCAATGTGCAGCATGCAGGCTTGCTTGGCGCAGAGCTTCCTGGACTGCGATGATTCCTGGTCCGACTTCCGCACGCGCTTGGCCTCGAATGCGGAGTGTCTCGGCCGAGCACGGCCGTGTGGAAGGAGTGACCTCGGCTTCGCAAGACTCGCGGAGGAGCGGGGGTTCTGCAATTAACATTGTGTAATGAATCATGGATGTTGGCAGATGTTGGATTCAAGATGCGCACACCAATGTCATGACAGGGACTGCAAGCCGGGCTAATCCTTCAAAAGGCTTCAAACCTCAGAAAAAACATTTGACTTTCTTCATGATAGTTCCTGCTTTCCGAGAAAAAGACATCAATGTGGTCCAGCCGACCGGCGACCAATCTCAGGCGGGGCTTCCCTCGCGATGTGGAGCTGGCGGTGGTGGCACAGGAGACGGTGGATGCGAAGGGTGTTCACATGGTTTAGAGTTTAGACTAGCGACCGTGGCTTGTGACCAAGAACTATCCAAGAATAGGTGCCTTCTATTCACGGTGGTGTGTGGAATGGAGGGAAGATTTGTTTTAATATGGTCTATTGTACAAATGTGTTGCGTTCGACGGAGGGAAGATGAAATTGAATGAACTTGAAGTAATTAAACAATATTAAACAGAACAGTATATATATAACATATTTACTAAAAGAGCACGTGATCCATTCCAACATATTCCAACGTGCAGTCCTAGCTGCCGCAGGGTTGTGCACTTGCAATGTCGTTGGGTGTTTGCTCTTCAGATGGGTGAGCACGCAGAGACAGCGTGCAGTTACAAGTTAGAACAACTGTCTAAGGATTTCATGACCCTTGCAGCTACCGATACAAAGGCCATCCGAAGAGTTTTGCAGACTTTCCTTCAAAACCCACCAAATCTGATGCCTCGAATCTGCCAACAGATCTTGCGCAGGATCTGGTACAGCAGTACGGGGATGATTTGGAGGTGGACCCAGGTGCCAACTACGGCGCCAGCCGAGGCATGCGGACCTTCACGGAGCACTGTAACGCGCCGACTCCAAAAGGCCGCCGGGTGCAGCGGAGGTGCCGTTGGCGGTAGCATGGAAGTGGCCGAAATGGCGACGCTAGAGTTGTTCGGAAACGGTGGAAAATGATGCGACGCCTTTCAACAGGAGGATGTGAGGATATGAGGAGGAAAACTCAACTTGTCAAAAGCCTTAATATAAAGTTCCAAAAGGCTTGTGGCAGCCTGGCAGGCCGGATGGAGAAACACAGGTCTAAGGTGTTGGCTATTTTGGGCCGCTTTTGTAGGAAACGCAGGTCACGGTCATGGCAAAACTGCAGAAGACCAGCAAAGGTTGATCGAAAATGAAGGGTCATTGTGAAGAGGACAATAGGATATGATTGAGATTCACCACGGTATACTACATTCACTATAGCTAGTTGGCCATGCATAAGTGGACCTTGGCGTCGTCATGAGGGGGGAATCAAGATTCCTCCCCATAGGCGTCAAACATGACCCTTTCAATGTCCGAGACGTTGTGTTTGACCTTCGTGTCCGAGACCATCATCCACTATAGCTCCGGCTGCACAGCAAGAATAGCAGCATGCCCGAGACATCCAATGTTCGAGACCTCTATGTCCACCCGAAGGTAAAAATCATGAGCGACTTGCAGGGTTTGTTCACTTGAAGGGTCAAGCAGTCTGACTTGCCTGTGCCACATGTGCAGACGGAAAGAGAGGAGGGACAGGGCAAGGAGCAGATTGTAGATTTGTGACAGTGCCAGGGGAAAACAGTGCCAACGCATTCTTGAACATGGGTGATGCTTTTTGTTTTCAGATGTTTACCGTTATAAATGAATGAATCCACTCAGTCCTGTCATTCGGATCCTCTCTAGGCATTCTGTCGGTTCATCCGATCCGAATCCGCCCAGCAAAAAGCGAGTCGAGCCAGGCGACTTTTGTTTATATGGCCTAGTCTCTGCGCTGTGGATGATTGCACGGCATGACCATCCAGACAGTCAGAACTTGCTGCAACATGCTCCTTGGAGTCATGAGTCACATGTGGCTGGGTGTGTCTCATCTAGGTGCGTTAAAGAAATGTGCATCTAGGGTGAGAAAGCGTATTATTTTATTACAGTGAAATAACATATTGTAATGTATATATATATATGTATACATACACTGTATATGTATGTATTCTTGTGAGCTCAAGATTAGAACAGACATAACAGGACAGTGGTTCGAGAGCTTTTGATTAGAATTTGGCCTTGAAAAGGAGCGTTCAAAGGATGAGCCATACACGCCACGCGTTTGCGCCTTCAACACGCTGGGCCCAGTTTGGCACCAATGAGTCCTGGAACCCTTTTGACCTCCTTTCCTTGCAACTGTGCAAGGATGTGCAAGGACAAGTCTTTCACAGACCATGGCAATATCGAGCACTAGGTGTTTTTGTTGTTGGCAGGGTGAGGATCCTGTCTAACTTGGCGTCACCTTTTGCGACTCACTTCACCAGCATCTTCAAGATGTTAGAAAGACTTGAGCAATTGCTCTCTCAGCCTGATGACTCAGAAATCGATGTTTCTTCTCCTCTCCACGTATCTTTCAGTCTCTCCGCGTTCTCCTTATAGCACTCCGTGAGGCCCAACACTTGCAACTGCTGTGATAGCACTCGGTGACCAAAAGAAGTCTGTGGTTCACCGCGTCGCGGAGCCTCTTCAATGACGCCCTGAGGCCAACTTCTTATTGGGTTCCACCATGAACCATGTCTTGGACTTCACGGAGAGCTCCGCTTGGCCCATTGGCACTTTAGACATCCTGGCGAACCTGGAGCCCTGGAAGACGAAGGTCCGGTTGGAAGGTCCGGTTTGCTGAAGGATCAGGAGCACCAAACAAGGAACGACCAAAGACCAGAACCTAATGGGATTCAAATGAAGCGACACTCCAAAGACTCCATGAGAATCCATGACATAAAGTGTATATGTTGTATTATATATTATGGGTCAGTGTAGGCATATATTCCATGATATTCCAGTCCCATGGTGGTTGGCAAAGGGTTTTCTTAAAGTCACAGTCCTTGGGTCCTTGGCACTCACGACCAAGAGGGCGAGATGAGGGGCTGCGCGAAACCGAAACCATCCAAGACTCCAACACGGTCGTTCATCTTGAGCTGAATGCATACCTGAATAGGAATGTTCATGAATGTCCTTTACTATGGTGATGCCAAAATATCGTCTGGGTAGATGGACTCTTCGGCTGTAATTCCTTCCGTCACCGCCCCTTCGGACCAAGGAGTCCCCAGACCGCTTCCTGTTGCCGCCGGAGATCAAGCAACGAGCTACACGGACCCTGCGCCCCCTGGAGACTTGACACAATTCACCGTGAGCGTCACCGTGAGCGGGTGACCCACATGACCCGCATGACCTGTTCATCACCTGGCTGCTCTGCTCTTGCATTTGAGGCTCCAGGTTGGGGGTTTTCGGCCCCTCACAACCCTGTTTGATTGAGGGCCCGGGTTTGTGGGGTCTGATCACTCCATCCGGATTCCGGACGGTTGATCGGCGTTTTTTGGGAGTTCCCTTGGAGCCAGTTCCGCTCCCAAGTCCGGACCCGACTTCGCTTGATCCTTCGCCGGGTGGGCATCGGAGCCGGCTCCCTCACGACGTTTTCGCGGGCGTTGTCGGATCGTTTTCACGAAAGCTAGCGAAGCTAGCTGGAGTTACTCTTGCGATAGCAAGGTTTCTTTCGACCGGGTGCAAATCCTAACCCCTGATCTCCCCTCCGCCCCTCTCCCCTCCTCCCCTCTCCCCTCTCCCCTCTCCCCACCCCACCTCCCCTCTCCTCCTCCTTGTCTTCCTCCCACCTTCCCTCCCTCCCTCCCTCCTCCCTCTTCCCAAGTTCGACTCCGTCCTGTCGTCGCTCTTTGGCATGCGGTTAGCATTGCGTATCTTGCGGCCGCACTCGCTCACTCTCACTGTCTCACTGTCTCACTGTCTCACTGTCTCTCTCTCTCTCTCTCATCTCTCTCATCTCTCTCATCTCTCTCATCTCTTTCTCATCTCTCTCATCTCTCTCTCCTCTCTCTCTCTCTCTCTCCTCTCTGTCTCTCGTCTTTCCGTCTCTCTTCTCTCTCTTCTCTCGCAGGAGGGACCGGGGCAAAGAGCCACATATAAAGGACTCTTCACCCCTGCCTCCAAAAAGAGCGCCGTGTTTTTTCCTACTTCACTGCCCTCCACTTTCCCATTCTGGAGCGCTAGCTTTCAACCCCCCCTTGGCCTCAAGTCACGTCGGGTTCGTCGGGAGAACCGCTTCTTCTCTATCTTCGGTGGGAACACCGAAGATAGAGTTTTGAAATCAGAACTATGTCAAATGTTTCAACACCGCATCATAGATAGAAGCTTCTCCAGAAGTGTCTCTTCTGCTTCTGTCTTTGCTCACCGAGGCAGTGGTGGAGTCACAGCGGTTACCCGAGCGCTTTGAGCATCCGCCGATCCGTTTGGAGGTTTGGGAGTTGGGCGTCCATGCTTCTCTGAGCGCTGAGGCCGGGCTGATGCTGGGTGCCGAATTGGAATGAGACAGATTGAGTCTGAAACAGTCAGTAAAACAACTATCACTATGTATCACTATGTTAGATACTGTTAGATTAAAGGCCTTTACTAACCATCATCATCCACTGTTACTGGTATAGTTTGGATCCTGGTTTCAACAGGACGATTAACATGGTACCTCCAAAGGGCACCTTTGGAAGACTTGTCTCCTCTACAAACCGGGCGTGGTCTTGGGGTTCCATGTGGGTCTCTTCCAGGGCGTAGAGCAAACGAATTGATGATCAGTCTCAGGTCTCAAGATGGGTGACCTCACAAGCATTACTTGTTTATCATGTTCTCATACACTGTTTCCCCCTGCACAAGCCAAGGGCTTTTGGCATCCCGAAAGTTGTTTTTCACGCATTCCAACAGGACCTGCTCTTCAATAGTACCAAGTGAGACAAAGTGGGACTGAGCGTTGGACCTACCTAGCCTGGACCAAAAGAAACGGTTGGGCAGCTATATGTGGGTCATCTCGAACATGGGGCATATATGTTCAACATACTTGTATCTCCTGAGAACGTTCCATGTAGTCTTTTTCCTTGACACTTGCATGCATGCCTCCAAACTCCATATGCGTAGCTGCAGTGACAGGTGCCTCCGCTACTGCTTTCCCTTGTCATCGTTCTGCCAGGCGATCCAGATGTTGCTGCGGACCCTGGCCGTGGCGGAGTTCAAGTTCCGGAACATCCTGAAGGATCAGCGGCCTGACTCCGCCATGAAAGTGGCATCGGTTTGGGTGTGGTTGGTGTGGGTGGGCAGAACAAGCGGCCAAATGCACTAAGAAAAACCTCACATCTTGTTCTGACTCTAATCCAAGGATACAGTCCCAGATTCCACTCGGAATGACGGATCAGGGCTTCGCAAGACTGAGCCTTGATTCGTTGGATGGGATGCCAATCCCAAGCATGACCAGTTTCCCATTGTCCCATTGTTCTTGTTTTTGTTGGTTTGTCCAAGATGACTATAGATTGATGTTAGATGCAATGCATTGAAATTCCTTTTGCAGTGTTTTGGTAGATTCTGCAGGCCACGGCAGGCAACTTCAGAGGCTTGTGCTTTGCTACTAAGTTCGCTAAGGTTCCTGGTTCCAAGGCACTATAGGCGATTCAATCTCATTCAACGCGAATGATGCCTTCGAAACCCCAGTTGGGCCAAGTGAGAAGGGTTTTCTCCACTTAATTTGGGCATGGTGGATGGGAGACAGCGGTGTCTCAACATTGTGGCTATAGTACTAGCAGCTATCACAGCCATCTACTCCCCTGCAGAATCATCCAAGACCTGGGATTGCAAGCGCCAGGGCGATCGAAGGATCGATATGAGGTATCCGTTGTGGCTCCCGGAGAAGTGCCAGACCCTCTACTGGCATCCGTACCTTGAATCTTGGAGTCCTTTCTATTCTTTCTGTCGTTCTTTGTGTGTGTGACGGTGCGAATGGGAGAGCAGCCCGTGTTTAGTGGTGGGAGTTCACAAGCTGGTCGGAAGGAAGCATGAAACCCAAGCCTTGCGGCAAGCCTTGCGAGGATATACAGTTTCCATGTGTTTCCCTTGGGTTCTCTTTGTCTCCTTGCTGGAGCCCCTCTTCACAAGCAGAAGAGTCCAGCAGAAGAAGCCGGAAGACCCCGAAACTCAGAGGTTGGGTGGCTCCAAGCTCCGACAGGTTGGACCTGTGGTTTGACCATGAGCAATGCTTGTTCGGTGTTGAAGGAACACCAGAGGCCCAGGTGTTGCACTTGATTTTCTGATATAAAATAAGATCTAAATATGAGTCTTGGAATATATAGGGACAACTCCCAGACCTTTCAGAGTTCCTCCACCTCAGTCAGCGGTGGAACGTTCCACCCAAAAGGCCGTTGTTGGACTGCTCGTGCCTCAGCGCTCCGCTCCAGGCGCTTGGACTGCACTGAGCCCGAGGACGAGATCACCGAGCTCTTTCGGAGCTTCGTGCCGCTGAGCGCCACGTCCAAAGAGCCCATCGTGCCACGGCTGAGGAGGGAGGCGATGAAGGAGTGGAGTAGCAGGTTCCGATCCATATAGATCCATATAGATCCCTTCTCCCCCCCAAAAAGGATGCTTATTGAAGAAATACATGACCATGATTGCGTTTTCCTTCCGCTACAGTTGGAAGAGGACCTCCGAAAAACGCCCCATCCATTCCGGGACACGGTGATGTCATGCAGTTGGCGTGTGATGTCATTCCAAGAGGTGGACCCGGTTCTACTCCCGGCCTCCTCCCGGAGCGACTTCGGGCCGAAGTCATGCGAAAAGACATCGGCGCCGATGGGAAGGAATCCCGAAAAAGTGGCGGTGCCAAAGGCGTCAAAGTGGCCGAACAGGATTGAAAATGGTTCAAATGATTGAACGATTTGGTCTGATGGATTCTCGTTCGAATCGTTCGCTTTGCTTCATGATACCTGGTCCATGAGACCTTGGTGAAGAGGAAGCTTTCGACGAAGCGAAAGCAATTGGGCAGCTGAATTTTCATGGGACCTGTCAGTGATCTCCTGCGGAGGTCGCAATCGAATTTTAGATTACTCAATGTGACCCGCGTGTTTCCAATTCAAGTGACTCCTTCTATACTCCAGAACAAGCTAAAGAAATGCCACCCGCATCCACAACTTTAGGCCAATTCTGGGTAGGACTCAGTCCAGGTGCTGTGCAGGAGTAGCCATGCACTTGACACATTCGAAGTTGTAACGTCATCTTCATGTGGGGCAATCCAAGAAAGATCAAGAAAGCAACAATTCTTTACAAGTTGGCTACATTTGGCATTTTGCCAGAGCCCCGGGGCCAAGCAAGAGGTTGTTCATGGACATCCATCAACTTCTATAAGGTCCAATTCTTAGACACTCCAAGCCGGAGGTGACCGCGCATGACGCGGACGACTGCATCGCCGAATCGCCGGACATGCTGCGCTGAGGTCGATATGGATCGCTTCATCCGGGAGTTTGAGAAGGTGGCGGGGCAACGTCGCTGGGCGACGTCGACGCCGCCGGACTTTGCGGCGAGTGACGACGAGTCCGAGGTGCTGTTTCGTAGCTTTCGTCCGTTCGGACAAGTCCGAGGCGTGAGTCACGGGACGAGGGATTTCCATAGGGTTTGGAGTCCATCGTCCCCTCACAAGCACGACAGTGACAGCAACATACAGCAACCTGTCATTGCAGTCACCATTGCTCACTGATGACTCATCAGCTTATCACCAGTACTCATCAAGCACTGAATCACTCTTCTTCACAATTAATTGCTCATCACTGCACATCACCATGAAGCTCGTCACGCCGTGATCTGCCCAACGTCATCCCGCGTCCCGCGTGTCATGTCCCGCGGTCTCAGGCTTGAACTTTGTGGATTTGCTCGTTTGTACGGTGCCCTATTTGTGTTTGCTCTTTGAGCCTGTGGACCTCCCCACGCGCCTTGGAGGAACGGAGAAGCGAGAAGGGTCCCGCTTGCGGAAGGTTGGAAGGTCACATTCCGGAGGGGTCACGGGCCGAAGCAAAGGTTCCCTGCGGGCTGAGAAACTGCTGGGACTTTCAGAAGGATTGTGTGATGTTGTGTGTATACATATATATTTACCAGGCTACCGCCTGCAGCCGCCGACCCCCAAGGGATAGAACCTTAGCGCTAGCCTTGCTCTATGTTAGCCTTAGCCTTAAGCCTTAGCCTTAAGAGTGCAGACCCAACCCAGCACCACCAAAGCAGGTACCCAAAAAGTCAACTTTTTGGGTACCATCGGACGTCAGCTCTTGCATGAACCCCGATCATTGCCCAAGAATTTAGACCCAACCCTTCACCACCAAAGCAGGTACCCAAAAAGTCGACTTTTTGGGTACCTCCCAGGCTTACCAATTTAGACCCAACCCAGCACCACCAAAGCAGGTACCCAAAAAGACAAAGCCTAGAGCATTCCTAGGAAAATGCCAGAAAAGCCTTTGAAAGTCTCATAAACCAACAGAAAACGTGACAAAATCTACGAAAAAGCAAGGGCATTGGCCGGGACCATGCCGCGACCAGCCCGGGATTCGAGCCCAGGACCATTTTGGAC